TGGCCAGCTCGGAAAATGACAAGTTTCGCTGTAATCTAAGCAGTTACCAAACTTCAACCTGTGAAGCTGCCTATACTATCCTCTGGGACCCAAGGTATGAAATCACAGCCTCGTTTTCTTTGAAGTTCTAGTACAGTTAGCTCTACCAGAAGGTCTAATAGCATTGCGATTATCAACAATTTATAAATACCGACCTACCTATACAGTCCACTTTATCATTGATCTACAGGGGTGTTTCCATTAGAAGTGAGTCACACTGTAGATATCCCGTAAGGACATAAAAAATGGGACAGCCTGACCTACAATTTAAGTGGCGGCTGGACTTCACAACATTTTGTTGGATTTTGATTATTCTACAGTTATTATACCTATACTGGACTAGGTATATTTTTTAATTTGAACTGCACATTCTTTTGCCTCAATTACAAAAATGTTTTATCGCATAAAACTTGGAAAGAAACGATAATAAACCGATTAGCATTCCGTATAAATTATCGTTTGTTGAACAGAACAGAAATGGGAACTTTGTTCCTTCACAGATATATGCAAATTGCAGTCTGTAATTTCCATAATAAAATTACCGAGGATAATTTTTCAAGGTGAAATTTTCTTCAACCCGCATAATTGAAACTTTTTAACTAATCGGCAGACATTATTATTCAGAGTATCAAATATCCCATTCACGATGCAGGCCGTTTTTTGTCTCTCCAATCACGGGATCTCGTTATAAAACTGTAGAGATTCAGGAGCCGGTGAATCAGAAATGAGTTTATCTTTCTGTAAATAGTTAACTTTATCCATCGTTTTATTGATCACAGAGAGAAAAAAACAATGAGTGTGGAATTCATTTTACTAAACTTTTGGGATTTTCTCTCCTCTTTCCTTTAAATGAAAATATTAGTATTATTACATTCGACTCGTAGTAAGAATGAATATATTTTATTTCAACGAATGTTTAAACCTGTGAACGGATTGAGTGAAATTCCGTGTTTTGGCGGAAGCGTACACTAAAATCTGCGCTCCCACCAGAATCAGCGCTTCCACCAAATAATGGTAAATAATCCAACGGAAATCCTCGCTTTCACCAAATATTATGAAATCTTCCTCATGAAATGGAAACTCTTTTATTTGACTATTGTACAAGGTTTGATGTAACATAACACGAAATAGATATTATGTAATTTTGACATGTAATTTGATACTTTTCAAAACTGACGGGAGTTTTGAAACATCTCAATTTACGTAATTTATGCCAAAATAAGATTGCAACTTGTTGAATATCCTAACGGATCCCGTTCATTTTGGTCCTTCGCCAAAGCTGTAGGAAGAAACTTCACTTCCAGCTCGTTTCCTCCTCTAACCAAGGAAGATGGAACACTAGCCACAACTGCCCAGGAGAAAGCCAACATTCCACTCTGGATGCATTGGGAAAACAACCTCCAAACATAACGCAGATTGACAGTCATATGCCCAAGATCACCTTTCGCCAACGTACTATAAGGAAGATTTTATTGGGTCTCAACACCAACAAAGCTTGTGGCTCCGACGGAATCCCATCGATTGTTCTCAAGAAATGTGATCCCGAACTAACACCTGTTCTCTGCAAGCTGTTCAACTACTCTTACAAATTGGGGATACCACGGACTCCTCGCCAAGCTTCCATCTTATGGCTTGCCTCCCCAGCTATGTTCTCTGCTAGGTAGTTTTCTCCATGTAGTGGTCGACGGAGTTCCATCTGACTCTCTTATCATAAATGCTGGTGTTCGGCAAGGATCAATTCCAGCACCAACACTATTTCTACTCCATATCAACGATTTGTTGGAAGCAACTTCATGTCCAGTACACAGCCTCGCGGATGATAGGACCCTCCATACCGCCTTCTCTTCCAGGGCTCCAATATCAGCCAGGCAAATCAGAAACGAACGTTGACAATATAAATTTGGACTTAGCAACAATTCTCAAATGGGGATCCAATAACTTGGTAGATTTCAATGCAAACGAAACACTCACTGTGCCCGACATAAGCTTGTCAGGAGTTACCATACCTTTGTAGACATCCATTTCGATGCTTGGTATTACTATCAGCAATAACCCTCCTTGGGAAAATCACGTGAGATCAATTGCTAAAAGTGCATCCCAGAAACTGGGTTTTCTGTTTCGAGCCAGGAGCTATTTCACTTCCAGTCAGCTGCTTATGATCTATAAGGCACAGATCCGACCTGTCCTGGAATACTGTTGTATTTGGAGTGCAGCACCCGAACATACCCTGAAACTGTTGGATTATGTCCAAAAAAGGGGCGATTCGTCTCGTGGGTGATGCCACGCTAACAAACTCACTCACTTCTCTGGAACACCGTAGAAAAGTTGGCAATCTGGCTCTATTTTATAGATATTCTTATGGACGATGCTTTTCTGAAATATTAACAATTATTGTTTCTCCCTTGACAGTCCCCGCGAGATTAACTCGTCGAGTAGAGGCTTCGCACCCCTTCGAGGTCACTTTGAAGACCTGCAGAACGTCTCTTTCCAAAGACTCGTTTTAAAAAAAGGCTCTGGAACACATTGCCAAGGGAGGTGTATATCATCCAGAAATTTAAGAAGAACACCAATTCCTACCTTATTTCCCTTGGTTCCCACGATGTCCTCTGAACATTACAGGATATCCCTTTTCGTGGGAACCAGAAGATAATAAAAAAGTTACTTGACGAAAACATGGATGGACGAAAAGAATAGTGCTGCTTCCTGCTACTTCCATGAAGGTATCAAACGTCCACCAGTGATGGTGAAACTCTTGTTAAGTGAAATTTGATTTATAATTTCAAATTTTCAATTCCTGCTCTTACCGATGTTGAATTGCATTATTGATTTGTTTTTCTGGCTATTTAGTCGAATGAAGAACAATATACTTGATTACCTGAAAATCAGGTATTCGACCTAGCTTTCATAGTTAAACTTATCTCCACATGTCTTCTCAGGTAATTTCTTTCCTCAATAGTTCATTGTCAACTTGTAATTTCCTAATCTTCACAGGTATTCTATGTGTCCGAAGATGGGACATATGTCACAAACTTGATTTGTTAATATAATATTTGTGGTCGACCGACTTCGTGTTATACGGTTTTTTCTTTGAAAAAATGTTGAAACACTCTGAGAAGGATTCATGTTTTCCATGAGATATCAAACGAGTCTAATTCATGGATTTAGTTTGATGAATAACATTTGAGGGCTTCGAAAATGCTCATCACACCGCAGCTGCTCTGTGTGACTTGACAAAAGCGTTTGATTGTATGTTCCATTTCATTCTCATCAGAAAACTCGAGGAGTATGGTATTAGATGAGAACCCCTCTCCCTTTTTTCATCCAATTCAACTAATAGACAGCAATGTGTTGTGAAGATGATCAAATGCGCATTTAAAGTTTGTAGTTCGTGGTCAGATACTTGGAAAGTGCTTGAAAAATTCATCCTCCTTAATACGGATTTGCAAGCGCATATACGTTGGCGGCTGAGCACTCCCATCAATGGTGCATCGAAATTTGTTGCCGCTTTAGCACTTTTGAGTCAATAATTTAATCGCCGGTAATGTGTATTACGGCCGACTGGCGGCCACCTGGACACCTCGACGCCGGGAAAGTACATGAACTGCCGGGAGAGGTGTGCGTTACAAATGCTGGGCCGATGGTTGGTGTTATCTGGGATGTGACTAGAAGAACAAAGAAGTCGGAACGAAAAGAGAGAAACGTCTCCCTCAAGGAGACGAGAGAACTTGAAGTAGTAGTAATAGTAGTGCATGTACATACTTTTTTGGTGTGTGTACACACCAACTGGATATCGCTTTTCAAGAGGTACGTGCTTCAGTGTTCTGTGTAGGCTTTGTTACTAACGCCATTTGTCACCTTAGGAGCAGCACTGTTAATTGGAACGCAACAGTGAATCGTGCGGAATCATCTCCGGCCGAAGCTACGAAAATTAGAACCCATAACTCGTTTTATTAAAGACTCAATGAAAACATGTTAGACATGTGGACACTCTTTTTAGTATACTCACTTGATGAGTTGCAACAAAATGTGATTATACTTGGGCACCACGTACTCGTCCAAATCTATGAGCGCCACGTGCGAGTACTTGTAGGTATATGGACCGGTACAAGCAGTCGTTGAGGGCGGCAAACAGACCCTCGGTGCGGATGTCCTTCTGTGAGGCCATGTCTAGCCGCCCGGTCAGCACGTTGGCCACGCCCCTCGAGACGTTCATTATTTTTATCTTTCTCTCACGACATTTGCCAATGAACACGTGAAGCAAGAGTTCGTAAACCACAAATTTCTTGCTGGCTCCGCACTCAAGCAATTTTGATGCTTCCGAATATCAAGTACATGTTCAAGAAAAAGCCTTCCAGCTAAAATACTAGTAGCAGGAATAGCTGCTAGAATATCTGGCCATACTTCCAGAATGTACAAAGAAGCACCGATTGATTATAAACCATTCTAATGAATTGGTACTTTGATCAGCTTGTATAGGTATCTCTCATATTCTGTTCTCAGCAACTTTTGATGATCATTGTTTATCATTAACTTGGTAGATATTCGTTCAAATCAAACTTGAAGTTCTTCTCAAAATACAAGAAACTTTGTTTGTATACTTTGAAATAAGCTGCAACATAATTATGTTGGTTTGAAGTTTTTGAAATACATAAGTTCCATTCATTCGTCAGTTGACCGCTGTATTCTCATTTTATATGGAGGTGGCATATTTAGAAATATGTCTGTTGCTCTTCACGTGACCATTCAAAATGCTGAAAATTCCTATTTTTGACCACGTGAGAGAAGTCCCAAAGAGACGAAACTAGACGAGAGAACATAGGAGACGAGAGAAGGGCTCCCTCTCGTCTTGTCGGCATCCCTGATTCTAGTTCTTCGAGTTCTGTGGCGAAGAGCTTGTGCATAAAAGCGACATATTGATAACGTGGTGAAACAAAGAATTTTGACAATTTTACAATACTCACTCGATGAGTTGCGGCAACGTGTGGTTGTACTTGGGCACCACGTACTCGTCCAAATCTATTAGCGCCACGTGCGAGTACTTGTACATGGACCTGTACAAGCAGTCGTTGAGGGCGGCAAACAGACCCTCGGTGCGAATGTCCTTCTGTGAGGCCATGTCCAGCCGCCAGGGCAGCACGGTGGCCACGCCCCTCGAGACGTAGTCGCGCAACAGGCACGCCACCTGTGGCCCGGTCGTGTGGTCGTAGAAGGTGAAGTGGTCGACGCCCATCAAGCGGTTCAGTTCGATGAATTCGAGGATTTGGATCGCCTGCAAAGAGGGTGCGTACAAATTGATGAAGAAAAAAATTGCCCACATCTTCTCCATAATCAACATCAAGTGCTGTAACGAAGCTGAGATGAATTGGTTTTTATCATTCATTAGAATATCGAATCAATTCCGAACTGGTTGAAATTACATCGCCCAGTATCTGTCACAGTTTACCGAAGTCGAACTGAACCCAATTATTCAAATTGTTTATTTATCTACAACTATGGAGTCATTCATACATTGCTAACTCAGGACAGTCATTATTGTGATGAATCGAGTAATTAGAGTGATAATGACAGTAGGATGGCGTAATAATCTGACATCTCATCGTCTTGTCAAATTCAACTAGGTAGGTATTTGTTCTACTAGTTCTACCAAAGCACACCACTATACTCTACTGTTTGTGAAATACACGCAAATTCAAAAGACGCACCTTACATGGTTCTCATGGTTTTAATCACCTCAATTCTACAAATACACGGAAAAATGAGAATTCAGTGTTTTTCATTCTCATTATAGCCACTCAGATGATTACAGCACTCGCCTTCGGCTCGTACTGCAACTTTCACTTTCGTGGGTAATAGCCATCATTATGCGCTCGTTGAATAATATACTATTACAACCATATATGTAATGTTGGCATTACTAACGTCATTGAAGGTTGGGAAGTGTCACATTACACACCTCTACTTCCCGCCCTCACTCATGTAATAATTCAGGTATGTTCAGAACGAAACATAGATTTATTAATTTTGATCGAAATATGATGGATGTAAATAAAATGTATACAACCCTCGGTAGGAAGTTTCATTCCTGTCTCGAACTTAAAGCTAACCTCGACGCTTTGCGTCTCGGTTAACTACCTAATCTTTTTGTGATCTCAGCAGGGCATTCGATTGTGTCGATCATAATATTCTCTTAGACAAACTATTCCGTTATGGCATACGGGGTACACCATTAGCATGGATAACAGACTATCTTTCTTATAGAAAACAATACGTCGCTATTAACAAAGCAACTTCCAGCATGGTCTTCTCTGAATTAGGAGTGCCTCAAGGGTCGATATTGGGACCCATATTGTTTGTTTTATACATAAATGATTTGGAATATTCAATTCCTGGAACATTTATAACAATGTATGCAGACGACACGTCAATCATAATTTCTGACAGATCAGATTCAGTTTTGAAAGAAAAATGTGACTTAGTTTTTGAAAATATCAACAAATGGTTTTCTGCATACAATTTGTTTTTGAACGCGAAAAAAACAGAATCAATAAGGTTCCATCATCGGCAACGGAGGTGTGATATCATAAGCTTTAGAGCTAATGATAATTCTGACACTGTAACAACAGATTGTGAGAGCTTAAAATTTTTAGGTCTTCACATTGATGAACATTTAAATGGTTTTCTGCATACAATTTGTTTTTGAACGCGAAAAAAACAGAATCAATGAGGTTCCATCATCGGCAACGGAGGTGTGATATCATAAGCTTTAGAGCTAATGATAATTCTGACACTGTAACAACAGATTGTGAGAGCTTAAAATTTTTAGGTCTTCACATTGATGAACATTTGAATTGGCAGAATGGCAGAATCACTGTGATTTTCTGATCAAAAAAATTAACTCTACCTCATATCAGTTCAGGAATATAAGGCAGGTTTTAAATGATGATCAGCTGCTGAAGCTGTACTATGCTCAGGTGGATTCAAGACTGAGATATGGAGTGTGCTACTGGGGTTTTTCCTCTAGCTGCTCTGATGTCTTCATAGCACAAAAAAAATCATGTCTCTTTGATTCATGCAGACCAGCTTTCAGAAATTTTAAAATTTTAACTGTCCCTAGTCTTTTAATTTTTGACTTGTGCTTATTTGTGTTCGAGAATAGAAATAAATTGTTTGTACTGAATAAATGTGAACATAATATTGATACAAGACAAAAAAACAATGTTTTTGTACCATTTGGAAAAACCAAATTAGCTCTCGAATCTCCTGACCAGATGGCTCCACGTATTTATAATTTGCTACCTGATTTTATTAAAGAATCCAAAACTGTTTCAATGTTTAAACGAACACTCAAGAATCATCTTGTTGATAAGTGTTATTATAGTTTTGATGAATTTTTGTGTATAAGTAGGTAGTTTTCGTCCTCTTTTTTTTCAGGATTTTTTTTTAATCTCCGATCTCCTTTTCTTTTCTTGTTTTTTTTTGACGATTCCTATACACATTTTGTAACAAGGCCAGCTCGATCCAAATTATCGGGGCCCGAATAGATTTATTTCTTCAAACACATACTGAAAAAAGGGTCTGAGATGAGTTTATAGCTTTCTGCCCATGCAGAGACAACCATATAATACTTCTAGTTTCCTGGAATAATAATGAATTTTCAAGCGGAGAGACTTTTGAATATCACCTTAACGATGGAATACCATCACATGATTGGTCAGATACAATTTGGCGCTGAGTTTTGCTTCCCTCATGTCACGTGATACACTGAGCATACAAAAGTAATGTTTGTCACAATTTTGTGAAAGTTCGATTTATAGTTTGTACTGTTCGGTTGTGTATCACGTGATGTAGAGCACTGGGAAAAGTCACCTCTTGATTAGAAAGCTCCACTTTCACTGTGGATGGAAGAGTTATCAACTACTTGAGTTGATAACTCTATTATTATATTTCATTCATTGAATATTCGATATCCTTTTGAGTTAGACAAGCTACATATAATTTATCAGCTAGCTATACAATTATTAGATTCAGTCACTATTCAGTTGATATAATTGTATTAATGAGCTAGGTTCAGACTCTATTGCATTTGATTCCATGCATTTATTATCCATCTTATGATAAACATTAATTATTCAGTTAGGGAACAGAATTGTTTGATTTCCAGACCTCTCATAGTAAGAGTAAGTAAGCTCAGAGATATTGTCTTTTACTGGTGTGAAGCAGTGTGTGTGCAGGTAGCTGAGACTTTGGCATATAAAAGGTAAACTTATTATTGCATAATGTTTCTGATTATGTCTGCATTTTGATACGACTTATTTTGAACCTACTTGCCGACCTGTCTCGTTCGGCAAGAAGTACTCTTCGATACATATTAGTGAATATTGAATGAGGTGGATTTAAGACAGGTTAATAAATTAGTAATGAAGATAGGTTTTATTACTCATCACCCAGCTAGCACAAAAACATTCCATCAATGTTGACGTAATATAACTCTCGGAATTTGAATAGACTGCGCGATGTTCTTTGAGAGTTATTTGGGCTTTACATGTACCGCCAAATGTCCGCAACGCGAGATTTTAGTAGAACATCTCTGGTATGACACAAGAAACATCAATGTTATGTTTGGGAGTTACATTGAGAAAATGTTCTGATGAAACCTTCCTGGGATATTATATGTAACATATAAGAGATGATTACTAGTAACATTTGTGTGATTTTCAATGTGACATCACAAGATAATTAAAAAATATTCTTTTAGAACATTACATAGTTTCATTCATGGCACATTAACGGCAAGGTATGGCGAATGTTACTTTGTGACATAATATAGATGTTTAATGAACTGTACCTAGTACATATTCATTTGCATTTTTGATGAATTAAAAATACGAATTTTCGAATTTATTTTGTCATGTTTCTTGTATACCAGGTGACCCAGGAGTATCCCTCTGTAACTTTCTTAGTTCCACTGACAAAAATATATAGGTTTTTATATGAAACAGCAAAAATTGATATCACCAGAAGTGAGAATGTCTATTCATAGAGATGTCATGAAGTATAATTTTACATGTAATGGATATTTCATTCCAACAACTGGAAAAGTTACAGAGGCTACCCAGCTCCTGGAACATCCAGAATAGAACACCATGACTAAAACAATCGAATCTTTTCACCTATTATTAACACAAAAAATCGTACCCCTAAAGTTAAGCACTTTATCATTTTGTTTCACAGAACTTTCTCATGAGTTCGAAGAATAAAATATTAAGATACAAAATCAAATATGAAATTCATTCAAACAAAAAGTTCAAAATTCAGTTTATGAATACAATAATATTGATTATTCCAACAAAGTTCTTTTATTCAACTTCAGAACCTCCCTAAGCTGCCGCTGTTTTCCGTGCCGAAACCATTCAGCTACATGTTGCTCAAACTCTTTAGCATTGCAGCCCTCATTAATTCTGATAACTCCTAGAAAAAATGGTTCAATTACACCATCAACAGGAACATTTATTCTATGTTTGTGCAAAATTTTCAATAAATGCGTGACATGATTTAGTGGCACACTGAATTTCACAGCCCATGAACGTAAATCTTCAATCATTGACTGTTTATCAACAAAATTTGGGTTTGTGCATTCATCACAGGAACAGAAATAAGTGGCAGTTGAATCATGATCAACTTCTACCTGAGATATTAACTTTGATGGTACCAGAGGAACGCTAGTACTGTCCCAAGAACTTGATGCTAACGAATCTGGTGAATCAAAAGGATTTAATAAGGCTGTAACCTCAAAGGGTTGAACTCGATCTGATGTTGGAGTAAGATTTCCTTGCTGTATTTCACTTGTGGATGCTGCAGTTGGAACTCTATCTCGAAGATCAGGTCGTAAAATTGTATCATCATCAGGCACGCTGTTCGATAACTTTTGCCGAATTCTACGGCGGTGCCGCGCCGAAATATTCTTCAATGATTTGTACATTATGAAACTATCAGAAAGTATACTTACCCAAGACACAGCTTCAGGAACAAGCTTAATCGATAGAAATCAATCATTCGATAAATATGTATATTTTACACACACAACACCCTGCAACAACACCTGCTACAACTGAGGGGCAAAACGTAGGCTAAACGACCTAATCAAAGCCAAAAGCCATTATTAGTTTGTTTATGCCAAAAGCCAAGAACTAACGCTAGAAAAACCGCCAAACACTTTAGAGAAAGAGTGAGGTTAGGAAATTTTTTTATGTTCTTCTTTTTTGTTATGTGGGACATTCGTGGTTCGTTCGGAAATACATAACATGTTACTTAACATTT